GAACGGATACCGGTGGTAACGGTGGACGAGGGGGGTGAGGACGAGGCTGAAGAGGAGGCGCCAGTGCTGGTGGTGGTGGGGCCATCCGCAAAGAGCCACGCATAGTTAGATATCATGCGTTCCACAACGGCCTGTTCAAATTTAGCCCCTTCAAGACAGCTGGTTGGGTCAGTGAAGGAGGAACTCATGAGGCTGGGAGTGAAGACAATGGCTAGGTTCTCTGAAGGCATCATGTTCACCCGGTGATTCTGGGCGACCCTGAAATTGCATAAACGCAACACCCACAATAGTTAGGAAGTAGTAGAGAACATGTCAAGCACTTGAAAAAGGCCATCTTAACTTTCAAACCAAGAACGTGGTATGAGCTTCATAGTTGAATGAAATATAGTAAAAAGAGTAGAAAATGGTGAAACAGACACAAGCGCAGACGAGCGTTGCACTGGGACTTCCGGCGCTCAACGTCCTGAAATAACCGACTAAAGTGGTTAGTATTTCAATTCCCTAACAGTTCGGTCAATCATGTGCACTACAGCATTGTGAGCGCAAAAACGGTGACTTGCACATGAATTAGATTATAGTTCGAGTAGACCTGCGCTGTATCTACCTCACTCTCTCCTCCTCCTACCCCAGTCACCCAGGCCTGGCGCTGTGACAGAGTTAAAAGGACCGGAAGTGTGAGAGCACGTAGGTAGCTGACGGGGGCAGACACCCGCAAATAAGTGAGCCACAACATTGGCTAGGATCGCATTGAGTGGAAGCGCCGTATAAGCAACATGATGATGGGGGAAGGAGGGCAGTCCTACGTCCGTGGCCGAAGACAGTATTTGTCGATCAAAATCACGTCGGCAGTGCAGTGCAGTGTGACATGAATATTCGGTTGAACACGGGGAAGCTGAGGCCACTTGCTTGGTTAAATATGGCGAAAAATACTATACTTGTCTTGCCAATGTGAAGATGACTCAACTCCAAGCTGCCGGAAGCTCTTAGACATGTACATCAGCGTACATTTGCCACTCTTCTGGCCTTATTCTTCTTCTTCTTCTCCCTAAAGTCTAAGGACCACGCCTCGGCAGGCGCGGACAATACCAGACAACTTGAATGGCAGCAAAGAGGGGTCTAGACCTGCAAGTGCATCACCGTATCATCACCTCGCTGTCGTCATCCGCCAAGAGCACGTTAACGGTAGACTCTGCGAATAAATTGAGACACAGAGACGAGGAAGAGGTGGGGAGGGGGCATGAAAACAGCTGTGGGATAAGTGTTATAGAGAAGGAAATCGAGTAAAAACACCCGACAGTTTGACTGCCGTATCCGGCGGAGTTCATGCAGGCACGCAGACTTGCGCATGACTAAGATTATTATGCGAGTAAAAGTTCACTGCGTCTGTCGCACTCTCTGCAACTTCCCTACCTGAGCTCGGTGCCATGACAGAGTCAAGAAGATCGGGGGCAGAGGATGGCGTGGCCCGAGCCTGCACCTACGCGTGCCTCTGTTAGGGGAACGCAACCCGAATAACGCCTGCCGTACCCTGATCTAGCCCCCCCCCCTCCATTGCTGGTGCAGCGTGTTAGGGCGGACTAAACGGCTAGCATCCAGGCAACAGCAGCAGCCGCGCTCACAGTAGGCTATCGATCGGCCTACACGCGAGCGAACACAGACTTGCAGTCAATCAATCGATAACTTGAAATATAAGTTGCACTCAGCCGTGAGTCA